GCATCCTGCATTCATCTTGTCCTGTGAAAATGGCTGGAGGGAAGCCGTGAGGTGTGGCACCCAAGCGGAGGTGGTTAGATAATCTGGCTATCAGTCCTTTGGGTAAGCTAAGATGGCATTGACGTCTGCTGTCTTTTGACGAGCCCAATACCTTTTTAAGCCCTTGCTGGTAACCCTGCAGTTAATGAGGGGGTTTGCATATGTTGGCCTTAACACCATGCTTGAGTATTACATGACACTCTTTACATAAATAGGAGCTGACTTGCCTGAACATTGGTTACACAGGATGTTAGTCACTTCATGAGTGTTCGCAGCGTGCATCGCCTTTGTCAGAATATCAGATTAAAGTCCTCTGTGTTTCTCTGCGTTAACTTGAGAAGATTATGATGTTACACATGCCCAGTAGAGCGCTCTCTACAACAAGAAAGAACTTCAGCGCTTGGCAGCTTTGCATCATAATTATTCAATATTTTGCTTAAAGTTACATTTCAACTTACATTTCAACTTAGCGGGCGGCCTTGTCCTGCCAGCTGGAAGCTTGTGAAGAGTGGTTTGGGAAAGCAGAGAAATGAGACATAAGAGGTGTGGTCGTCATCATCATCATCACCACCACCGCCACCACGTACAGTTCAGTGTTCTTGCCTTTCACTGTGGAGGAGCGAAGGTTTTCCAGGGGGCTGACGCGGGTGATGATGGGGCTCGTAGGGTAATCATCGGGTAGTCATGGCGGTGTGTAATAGAGGAGAGCGGACTGTCTTCATGTGTGCGTCGACACAAACTTGTGTGTATGCTGAGGAGGTTTGAATATGTGCATTCGTACATGCATCAGTGTGCATGTGTGTGTCTGTCAGAGGCTAGTGAAGAGTAGGCACAATCTGCATGCACTTAGTCCTGGCAAGACAGAGCAGGCGTTTCTAAGCCCCTGGACCGCGCGGCGGTGGAAAACCGATCTGTAAATAACAGACACATGTGTTTGAAACTGAGTCCTGTATTCCAGCCCACGGCCGCAATGAGAGAGAAAACACCACTCTGCTTCGACGTCAAATTGTCTCATCCAGTGTTGTATGACAATCATGCTGTAATAGCACCAAAACGGCTCCTCAAAAGCGGGTGTGCGGGGGAAAGGGGCATAGCGGGGGTCTGCCGTTTGGGTGTTTCTGATTATTTGAGATGGGGGCCTGCATAATATCATGTCAAATTATCTGACTTTGACAGCTACAGCTTGTTGGGCCAGTTGGAGAGAATGGCTGGCTGGCTGAATGGATGGATAGCCGAATGGCTGGCTGACCTGTTGGCTGGAGAAGTGTGGCCCGTACAATACAAATGGGGTAAACAAAGCACTTTGAGTGGGAGAGTCCTTGACCTCTGTTGACATAAGACCTCAGCTGGGAGTTGAGGGTTGGTTTTATTTACTTGTTTGACCCAAGTGGAGGGCGTTGAGATGACCTACAGGTGACAGACAGACGTACCACCACCACTTTGCCAGTATTGTGTCCTGCTCTCCTTACTGCCCCCAAGGGACCACCACCTAAGAGAAGATGTTGATGTAGGGCATGATTTTTAAGGCCTTTTCATGATTTCAGGTTTTTTGGACATTTAACTCTAATTCATTTGTAGTGGGAGATTACTGCTTTTCATGCTTTTTCTCTCCTCCTTTTCTTGAAGTCTTTTCTTAGGGTTCATGTTGCACCCAGGCTGAACTTGTCATCTTAAGTTTCTCATTCCGCTTTCCTACAAATTACATTTTTCTCTGTGGTTCAATTGCACATCAATGAGGTCGAAACGGGGACATGTAAGTGTGACACTTATTTTGATAAAAGCTGCGCAGCTCTCGTACTGTACAGCACTTTGAAGTTTGGATAATGAGTATAAACTCAGTTTGAGGTTGGTTCACTGTCAATTCAATTGATTCGAAATGCAAATAAAAAACACACTTTTTGGATACTAATACAGCATTTGTTCATAATCACTGGCGAACTTCACCATGCCATGAGCTGGCTTTGGAAGAAAAATATACTTCTTGAATTAAAACTGAATTGAAGTGACCAATTATTGGTCCAGACTAGAAGTTCTTTCTTCTGCCAAGTTTGGAAATCTGTGGAAACGTATCATACAGATGTTACTGCAGATGTTTGCAGTTGCAGACCCCTTGTAATGTCAGTGGATCTGTAACTGTGTTATTGTGATAATGTTGCTTTTAAAGTGTTGTGACCCAGTTGGCAGATGTGGTGTTAAAAGGGATCCTCCCTGCATTAAAGAGTGAAGTACATGCTTCATTCACACGTGCTAATTTAAAAATATCAAACTGTTCCAGAAAAATGCAATCCTGTTTTCTTACAGGCATATAGCCTGGCCACAACCAGCATACAGCATTTGGACTGCTGACCAAAATCCTCAAATTAGGCTAGGAAATGAATGGGTATTTTTCAACCTGGACCTTATTTTCCCATGTTTTTGTGTCTATGTAATAATAATTGGGACATTTTTTTTTTCCAGCAGCGAAACAGGGCTGCAATATAATCCTTGCGGGCAATTGCGCCCTGTAAAAGTCCACTGAAGTGACCTGTAAGCTAGCTATTTGCGTTAGAGATCCAACCGTAACGTTTTGAGAGGAGGGTACTCTAGTTAATAATACTACACAAACATCATTAGCATCTGCAACTGAAAGGTTCACAGAGTGCAGACCCACCACAGCAACAAGCGTCTGCAATGATGGTGGCAAAAATAAAAAAAAATTAAAATGATTGATTTTAGTGTAAGTAAAAAAAAAAAGTATTCTTAGCACTAGTTTGGCTAATCAGGAATCTGTCTAAATACCAAGGGCTGAGTTGGTGTTCCATAAAAGAGTCCAGGTGGAAAGTGAGTTTTTGAAAGACGATGGTGTTTTTAAATGGGACAATGTGCAGGAACCCTTAAGTGTTCACATAGAATCCTTTTACCTGTCACTCAATGTTCCTGAGCAGCAGATTAGCCTGAGCTTGGCCCTGAGAGAGAGAGAGAGAGGACATGTTTGGACAACACCTGACATGACAGGCTGCTTAACCATCTCCATTAGAGCCAATGAGAACTGAGAAAAAACAGACCGCCTCGGTCTCCAAATTGGTGCCAGTGGGGTCAAGTTGCAGGAATATGCCAATTACTTAAATTGATCAGGAGATGGTTTCCTTGATAACCAATTTGATCAAGCTGCCGATCGTGTTACATGTGTCGTGCTGCTCGGGCACCTAACAGGACGTCTCAGAAATTGGTAACAACGCACTAAAAAGGCTAAACACAATTTCTTCTGCATGAGTAATTCTGTTTTCGTCATATCAGGTGGTGGATGGGGCTGAAGCCATGGCTTGTAAACAATGGCGTTTCAGTTGATTTAATTAGGCAGGGAGGAAGTATTTAGGGGCTTAATTGAGATTGCAGTGGGAAATTGCTCTGAAATAGGTCTACCTGATTTACCCCCCTCTTCACAGTTGGTATGACGAGGGATTTCACTCTCCTCTTTGTAGATAATTAGAATAACCGTAATCACTCCCTGGATGGCCTGTGATTGGAGAGAGCCAAATGCCAAGCTCGAAATATGAAGAGTGTTTCTGACTGTGTGCCTGCGTGCTGTCTGCTCCTTACGCGGGTGTGGAAGTATGCACATACATGCCTTCTTGAGGGTTTTCTACATGCACAGAGACGCTGTCTCTGCCTTCAATGGAAGCATTGCTCTTTGTGCTTTGTGTTGGCCGCTATATGTTGTGGTGTTTTGTTTTTTTTGTGTGTTTTTTTTGTTGTTGTTTTGTTTTACAGCTTCAGTGATTAGTCAAAATAGTTGATTAATCAAGAAGGTAATTATAATTTAATCTATAATGTTAAGATAAGATGTTCTTTTTCAATAGTTATTCCGATCATACAAGTTGCAACACATTTTTGGGTACAGTGGTACAAGACATTTTAACTATATACGTTCTGGAGCTGAGCAACTCGTTTTTCCCTCTCTTCTCCCCTCATCTAGCATACTACTCGGTGTGTTTCGTAAACCAATAATGCTTTAAATTGTATGCCTTGAGAATGGCAGCTTTCCTCTTGCAGCTGAAATTTGAAGCAGTCACATTAAACTCCATGAAAATATAATCTATTACCCACCTCTTTTGAAACGGTCTCTGCTCCAGGTCAACCTTTCTTTGGTAACACTTTATTTTAAGTCTCATTAAGATTTATGTGAATATATAGTAATTTAATAAATTGTTAATAACATCTTATTATGTAGTTGTTAGAGTATTTGTCAACAAAGTAACTTGTCCTGTGGGCATCCATGAGTGGAGGCTGGTGTAAAAACAGATAATAGTTATGTCTTCATGGGATAAGTTTTAATTACTGTCAAATACTGTACACTTAAAAATGTCCTTATATCCAACTACATGATAGTGTGTTATAAACCATTCATTAAATGTTTGTATACTGTTTATAAATATGCGGATTTAAAGTGTTACCTCTTTTGGTAAGGTTTAGAGAATGATGTTTTTGTGTCAAGTCAGAGTGCAGTGGGCTTCAGTGTTTATGCTGACGAGCAGTTAGGCAGAGTTTGCTAAATATGAACTAAAGAGGCAGTTTTAAAAATATATAAGACTGCGGGAAAAATAGAAATGGGAAAGAATGACAGAAAATTTGCGGGGGAAATGTAAAAATAAATTCTAACGTTGCCAGTTTATCAGAGTTACCTAGGTTACACTAGCTGCACCATAAAACAACAGCCCTATAATAAATCCTACCTTTACGAGGGTTATAATGTTTAGATTTTGTTTAAACTCTTTTATAGAAGTGGTGATTCAACTTTACGGTAATTTAGGAGGCTGTGTTTCTGTTTTGCATTGCACTGAAAGTGGTTTCTAATATTTTGTCCTCCCCATTTATGTCATTGAGGGTAGACTAGACTAAAAAGTAAAAAGAAGTGTTTTAGAGGAGAAATCCACTTCCTGAAATGTTTTTGATTGACAGTTGATTGTTTTCTTCTTAAACAGGCATTTGGCTTCATGTCACGAGTGGCTTTGCAGGCAGAGAAGATGAACCATCACCCAGAATGGTTCAATGTTTATAATAAGGTAATAACTTTCTTCACATTGTGGCCCAAATTACAACTTGTAATAGTGATTGAGGAGTCACTCACAGTGCTGCATTTGTTTAGTATCCATTACAGAAATCACAGCTTGTAGAATCAAACAGTGTTATCACGGCTGTGTGTTTGAGTTACTGTCATATTTACAATGCTACGGTTGGTTTATAACAAATTACAGACACACCGAGATCAATCAACTCTGGATAAAGTCAGATTTTTTTCAACAATCCTCACTGGTTTTGGAGCGATCTCCACTCAAAGCCAGAAACACTCGGTTAGTCAGAACGACTTCACACTGTAATCTCATAGTTTTTCTTGTGAAAAGCTCTGCAAATATCTCTACCTCCCCTCCACGAAGCCTGCACAACCCTGACACTCACGCACACACTCTCACTTTCTCTGCCTCAGAAATAAAGTAGTGGTTGATATGACAAACCCAGTCCCTGAAAATCTCTCAGCATTAGGTTGTAGCCACTGAGTTACAGTGTGGTGGACCCGGCCGCTCTGTCAGGAATGCTGCTCCTAATCCACTCTTTATTAAAGTGGCTGTAGAACGGTGCTACAGGTCTCTGGGCCCCCACAGCACTTTCCACCAGACACTTACACATAAATCCCACTCTGACTGATGTTCATCCTAAAATAGATGCTGTACACTGAGCTACTAATAATATTCTATTAAGGTTCATTAATGTTCTGCTCTCTTTTCTTGGCTCTCAATGTAAAGTTTACAAGATATAACTCTGGGCTAGAGCTGGGCTGCATTCAGCCCCGACAAAACACTATGCAAAAAGTTTATTTAAACAAAACGGTGCTGCCTTGAACAACTTGTTGTGTACGCAAGTGCACTGACGTTTTAATATTGGTGTTTATATACTGTACATGTCGCTGCTGATTGGGAAAAACCTCTGACCCACCCACCAAATGAGAGAAAACGTATCTCATAGGCTGTTGCACACCATTTTGAGGAAACATGTTGCTCAACTCAGAAACCATTGCAAAACCGTGCACACCGTTTTCAGATTAAACGTGCCCTTGCTCTCCAGGGCGGAACTTCATTGGTGGAGGCAAAAACATCCCCTCAAAATTTCAAGGACTCTGGATGGCCGTCCACTGAATTTATCACCGTTCCTGACAAATAACAGGACAAGATATGTCACTGTATGTGGATCGCAGCTTAAAGAAATAGTTCAGTATTTTGGGAGATATGTTTATTTGCTTTCTTTCCAAAATTGAGGTAAGAAGATAAATACCAATCTCATGTTTGTGTGTAAAGTACGGAGCTGGAGTCAAGATGTGTCTTGTCTAGCCTAGCATAAAGACTGTAAACAGCGAGTCTGGTTCTGTCCAAAGCTTTGTCCAAAAAATAATCCAAACCAACACCTCTAATGCTCACTAAGCAGAAATGTAAAAACACGTGGTTTTGGGGGAATTTGTGTGCTGGAACTACTTTTTCGCAGAAGTGGTGCAAGCTTCCTGAATTGTCATTACAGTAATGTCACACAGAGACCAAACCAAAACTGCTTAATCTGGCAACCCACACGGTAACTGGCGACACTGCACAGGATAAACTGCTGTTAGTCAGGCACAATTACACCAATATACACTAATGTCAGCTTCTGCTTCCACAAGCATGTATAAAAGCTTATTCCAGGGCTGCAAAACAACATAAGTGTGACACTTAAAGGAATACCGAAAAACTGTGTCTTGATGATCAAATACTCCTGTAGTCTCAATATGTGGCTCTGAAAAGTTTGTATCTTTGTGGAGAACAGCAGCTGTAGTCAGTAGTTACAAGGGATCCCGTGGTAAAAAACAACAAAGAAAAAGCACATAGAAACCACTCCTTTACATCATCCTCTTCTTCTATATTGATTCGCATGCTGTTCACCTTCTAAGACTAATAATGATTAATTAATGATTTCTATATTTTGACCCAATGTTTTTCTTTGCCATCCAAATGGCAATGACAATTACATAACATGCACTGGGAAAATGTTTGGATTTTTTCAAGTGTTAACTATTTTTTTTAGTTAACAATTATTACAGCACTAATTACCAACTAAAAATAATACTAACTTATGATTTGTTTGGTTGACCTGTTATTGCTTCGCAATTGCAAACTGTGTTTGTGTCCTCACAGGTCCAGATTACATTGACTTCACATGACTGTGGAGGGCTGTCAAAACGGGACATCAAAATGGCCAAGTTTATTGACAGAATTGCACTTTCAATGTAATGTTTTTGTCAGAAAGTTTTTCTTTCCCAGTTTCTTTTGTTTCCCTGCTTTCAGTCACAACTCTGCCAAAGAATGTCAAAGAATTATTTCTCAGAAAAATGTATTTACTCCTATTGACCCATCCATCTTAAATAACATCTGTGTAAGATATTCTGTTTTGATGTTTGTATTTTGTTTGCAGCATATTTTGTACAAGCTTTCTGTAAGAATAAAAGTTTGATTTTGTGAAACGTTTCTGTAATTGATTCATAATGATGTAGCTCTGCACTGACTCTTGAGTAAGATGACATTTCCAAGGCTCAGTAGAAAACCTTGGTTTAGATTCAAGATTCCACCTTTAACTGATTCTGGCAGATCTAATTTCATTGTGTGTCTCACTGTGTGGTTCTCTTGTTTTCAACAGTGTTTATTTTCACGCATGGAATTCAAATCGAGTGTAATTGCTCTGCAGTACTCTGTCCGGTACTCGCCAGTGATCCAGATCCTGTCAGTCCTCTACCAGGCCACATGTTCTCCTTTTGGCCCTGGAGGGTGGAGCAAAATGAGGAAGGGGTCAAAGTCAGTAGGAGGGGATTTATTTGATTTGGTAAGTGATGAGTCAAATAGGGCTGCTATGTTTTCCTGACTGGATCGCCATCAGGAGAAGATCAGCAAACAGAAAAGAGTGTAATAAAAGCCAAATCAGTAGGATTGTTCACTCTGCCAACCTGTGTTGCAAAAAGCCACTTTCTCTGTCGTCGCACAGAGCACAACTTGGCACAAAGACTGGAGGCAAGGGGGAAACCGCTAGTCTGGCTCTGTCCAAAGGTAACAGAATCTGCCTACCGGCACCAAGTTTACTAATTAACGGGTTATATCTCATCTGTTTAATCTGTATAACTGCGGTTTTGCTGGGGGCTATGTGCTGGACTATTGCCTAGTTTGGCTTAGTAACATCCTGGAGTCTTGTCACTATAAGGTTGCCAGGCATCCAGCAGAGACCAGGAAATTACTGTGCCAGTCCAAGAGTCTGGTGTTGTGCCGAAGCCTGTTTTCTTGTCGATGTACGTTATGTGCCTAAAATCTCCTTACTTTAACCTGACCCCAACCTTACTCTAACCCCAACCAGTTATGTCTGCTTCCCCTAACCACAACAGTGGATGTGGACTGAGTTATAGATCTTCTATCTGAACACAAAAGTGAGTAATTGTATTTTCCAAAGTGTTGAACTTCTTTAATTGCATTACTTTGAGTGCAACTGGATCTTCATTTGTCTCTGAGAGTTTAGTTAAAGACATCTGCAGGAATAAACCAAAAGTAAGCTAACTACATTCCTATTGATGCTAGGGCTTATCCTCCCAGGTTGCTGTAACTTATCTTAGTTGCATTTGGGGGATTGCTGTCTCTACTGCAGATGAAATGAGTGGCATAGCTGCGGACGCCTAGCAGTGACTTTTGTAGTTAAAGCAATTATGAGCATGCAATTAGATGCTGAGCAGCCAATGTCATTACAATTAATGCAAATAGCCTGGCCCCGGCAAAATAGAATAGCCTTTCACCAATGTGTTGTGAAAACGTTAAAATTAGGTGCACTAAAACAAATATGTTGATTAGGATCAAACACCACACATCACCCCTACGAAGTGAAATTAAACAACAAATTCATCCATCCCCTCGGCATCATTTACTGTAAAGCATCACAGATTGACTTTAGCGTTTAGTGCCAGTATTTCACATGATTTCTAAAGGTATTAATTCATGCTTTTCAATTAACCTTTCATTTGGATGGGTCATGTTGAAAAGCAAACCCATGATACTCCATAACCTATGCCTTAAAGTAAAAAACTAAACTATGTTTCTCCATTTCTATTAAGTCTTGACTAACATTGTAAATTCAACCTCATAAGCTATAGACTGGCTACATTTACATTATATTCAATAATTTGCAAACAAATTTTTACTTACAGTAAAGGCCAACCAGGCCCACACACATGTTGGTAAGGCACACTCAGAGTTGGATTAAATATATCATATTGCAAAGATGATTTTTGGGGAACTAAACCCTCTGTTCATTCATCTGTAGAGTCAAGTTCTGACCAAAATTAGAGAACCGTTGCATCTGTTGTGTGTTAATACGCACCACACTGACCCAGTCAGCCACCGCTCAAACTGTTTTTTGTGCAGGGAGGCAACTGCAAGGCTAGAAACAATATGAGACATTTCAAGATTAATTTAATGTCTCTGTATGTACCGTGTATCTCATTTGAATTGTCTCAGGTGGACACAGCAGCAAGACAACACCTTCATCTGCAGCAACTCCTCCTTTTGAGGTTTTGATGTGTGTAGGAAGCATGTCAGCAGCAGTTAAAGTATCAAAAGTAAAAATAGTTCTGCAGAAGGTTGGTCTCTGATATACTGTACATGTTATACTTTAGATTGTTATTATTATTTATTCATTCAGCTGACGCCTTTATCCAAAGTGACTTACTTCTGGAGCATCTAGGGGTTAAGTGTTTTGCTCAGGGACACATTGGTGTCTCACAGTGGAGTGAAGTGGAGTGAAACCCGGGTCTTTCGCACCAAAGGCATGTGTCTTATCCACTGCTCCATCGCCATTACTTTTGTAGCTGGACAAGGTGGAGCTAGTTTTAACTACTGTGTAAACAGTAGGTAGTTAGTTTTCCAACCCAGGGATCGGACCCCCTCCTGAGGGTCGCAAGATACATCTGAGGGGTCTTAAGATGATTAATGGGGCAGAAAAGAAAAAAAACAAAGTGAAACCATCTGAGTGGTTTAGAAGGTGGTTTATCTCTTTTTGGTGGAACTGCTAACAACTCATCTCAAACCTAGCTGCTAGGCCTGTAACTGTAAGTTTAACCAACAGATAGAGAGTGTATTGATCTTGTCATCTAACTCTTATATTTAAATTATAATATAATATGTATATTTCCCAAAATGGACTATTCCTTATGTCCAAAAAGAAAAAACTGAATTATCAGGAATTATGTTATTATTATGTAATTATGATGCAATTGAATCTACTGGATCTATAAGAAAGGGTGACACACATTAATAATTATTAAAGGAATAATTATTTCCATTGATCATTCAATCTGTCATTTTTGTTTCCAATTTATTGTTTAGTCCACAAAATGTCAGAAAATCATAAAAAAGAAGTCACATTACAATTTTTCAGCACTCGAATGAGGACTTCAAATTCTTTGTCTTGTCCAACTAACCATCTAAATCTATCTACGTAAATTTCCAATCCAATCCTCACATCTTTAAAGCTGGAACTAGTAAATGAAAATGTTCCTTGATACATGACTTAAATGATTATCAATGGCTGTTGATTAACTCATTTCTGTCAATCAACATAGATTCATTGACTAATTGCTTCAGCCCCAGTAGATTCTCTAAATAGCCGCCATAATCTGACCTCTGTGGAGAAGGAGGGGGGTGTGGGGGGCTTTCAAGTCACCAGAGAGGCGTTCCAACAAGGCCAGGCCGGGCCAGACCAGGCCAGATGTGGCCCCTTCAGATAATTGGCCTCAGCTGATGGACAGAAGCAGCAGGCAGTCAAGCCAGCCCTCCCATTAGTGAACTCCCTGGATTCTGGCTCCTTAATCCGTTTTCAGCTTCACCTACTAATTCTGCACCGCCAGCAGTTCAGCCTGCACACACACACACACCCATGAGAGCCAGAGGAAGACAGACAGACAGACAGGGGAAGGAATGAGGAAGGAGGAAAAGGCAGAGAAAGTGGGGAGGGCTGTTGAGGGGGGATAAGAGATTGAAGAGGTGGAGGCAGGGATAGAGGAGTGGGAAGGAATAGAGCTGTGAATAGATGAGAGGGACGGGCCAGGTGGGCGAAGCCTTTTTTCCTTTTTTTTTGTGTAGACCTTGAGATGGAAAAATAATAATTCTCCCCAGCATAAATGTCTAGTGCCCCTGAGAGTGACAGAAGGGGAAAGAGAGAGATGGAGTAGGGCTTTCATCAGTGAGTGAGAGAAGAAACCAAGAGCAGGAAAGAGGCTTTCTGGGATTTTTCCAAGTAACTGCTGTAGCGGCCCATATTTCTCATCTAGTGTGTGAATCGCAGTTTCACTCTCTGGCCATGTGGGGATGGGTTGGCGGACCGGTAGTTGCAATCTGATACTGCCAAATAAAGATAACAAGGTCAGAGAAAGTTAATCTTGACTTAAGTCTGCTTTTGGAGTCTCCTGGGGGAGTGCACAGGCCAACGTTTAACATGTGGACTCGTCTGTTGTGGGATTCACTGCAGACACAGCGCTGATAGTAATCACAGTGCTTGATGCCAAAAAGCAACCAGGAGCTTAACATTTGCAGACATTTGTATGGCATTTGTTATTTGATCAAATGCACCCCGTGTGTACGTTTCCCATGTGGTTCGGCAGTAACTATTAGAAGATTGCTGACAGTTCTCATCTGTGTGAACAGAAACATATTGTTGTCTGTTGTGCTGATAGGCTAAAAGGCAGTTCCACGCTGTCTTCTTCCATTTAAAAGACAAGTTGTCAGTGGTCTTTTTTTTTTATGAAAAGGAAAACACATTTTCTCTGGGATATGAGGGATCACTGTAATGGTTGTCATGCTGATTCTAGAGTTAAGTAAAGTATCAGCAACAGAGGTTCCCCAATACAGACATCCATCACTATTGAAAACTTTTCATGAGCAAAGAAAAACAAAGTTTTAATGCATTTTTAAGATAGTCAAGTGGGATTTTAAAAGGTTTATGCTACACTAAAAGTAGGAGACTTTCCGTCTAAGCCATAAATAGACAATTAATTCTTAATTTTATCAAATAAATGTAAAATCACCAAATTTGAGATATATGACTTACTGGAACGCAACAATGTGTAAAGTAAACTGATTTTGTTTTATAGCTGTCTAGAAGTGTTTACTTGAGTCCATTTATTTTTTGTACCAAGAAAATATGTAAGTGCATGTTGACATCCACGCTAGCAGCTCTGTGAGGCTGTTCTTAGGCACAGCAGTGTTTTAAGGTAAATGCTAACATCAGAATGGTAACATGCTCACATTGACAATGCTACACTGACATTGATGACTGATGTTACACAGGTATTTACCATGTTCTTAGTGTTAACATACTAACATTTGCTAATTAGCATTAAACCGCACAAAATAAAGCTGAGATCGATGGGAACGTTGGTCAAAACCCAATGTATTAGACAAAATAAACATTTTTGACCTGATAATGGTGCTAGAT